TGAATCTGGATGCGACAGGTCTTTTTAGACACGCTTGCAAAATATGGATATGGCAGAAATATGGAATGCAGCTAGATGCAGGTAGATGCGAATGAATCTGTGTTGCCTATCTTTTTTTCTTTTTGTTTTCTTTTTTTTTTTTTTTTATATATACATTTCTTTTCACGCTAACCACATCGGGGGAGACAGTACAAAAGTGCGAACGAGTTCGCCTGAGCTTTGCTGGATTTCTGTTTCGTTCTCTCTTGCTTTGATCGAGTGCGCGATCAGACGGTTATTGCCACGGCGAGAGGATAAAGAATATTACGTTTGTTGACAAACGTGAAGATGCGAATTGGACTAAAGATTTGGCTCTCTAAACTCGATCATCTCTATCTTTACTTTACTTTAACAATCATGTATAGTTGATATTTACGATCATACACTCGCGTAAAAAGTAGGGAGTTTAACGTTTTTTATAGCGATGCAACATTTATAAAAGAGAAAAGAAAAAAAAAAGATGGAAGAATAAGCATAAAATAAAATAAAAGAGAATACATTCGAAACCACTTGGAAACATTGAAATCTTCCGTATTCAGAAATTGAATTGAAATCTTTGATTGTATAGTGTCTTGTAGCTCGAAGGTATCGATCCTTTTTGCCAGGCATGTAGAAATTTTCGGCATATTTAGGTCGTGAAAGAAATCATTCGTTCGTACAGAATAAAAATAATTCTGCTCCCTCTAAGGGCAATGGAAGTTCGCGTAAGTCATCGTAATTTACATGAATCGCGGCTGATCACGCACACGATCGCAAGATGCCAAGAGTAGCTGGTTCAGAGATCAGCCTAATCGCATCTCGTTCGTCACGAGTCAGGAACCGGAAAGTTTCCTGAGGAAAGCTTCGCTAATCTCCCGGTTACACGGTGTTTTTCCGTTTCGTAACGATCCCCGCACGCGAGATCATCCAGTTAAAAAAGGCAAGAAAGAAAGAAAGAAAGAAAGAAAAAAAAAAGAAGAAATAAAAAGAAATAGATCCTTGGCCAGCCTTTTCCAAAGCTCGGGCTAGCTCGCTGATAGCCGGTTTCGTAGCCAACGAGTTGAAAAAACGAGCGACACCGTTAATCTCCTTCGCTGAATCGTCCGTGAACGATTTCTATTTCGACGAAAGCCTCCTCTTCGTTCTAAGCTTTCGTTCTCGCTTTGTTCTTCAACTATCGTGTCCTTAGCATTTTAGCTTTCTACAGTGCTGTCTTTTTTTGTTCCCTTTCTCTCTCTCTCTCTCTCTCTCTCTCTCTCTTTGTTTTTGTTCTTTTACATCGATTCGTTCTGTTGAGCTTATCCAAGCTGTAAAGAGTATCGGAGGAAATCGCTTGTGCGCAGAATTTTGTTCAATTTCATGCGAGAATTCGTTTCGAAATCGTTTCGATATTAGGGGAAAGTCGAATTACTCTAATTAAATGCTCTTTAGCCCGCGAGCAATAGAGTTGGCAAAAAAATAGTGGAAGGTCTAATTAAGCTGGAATAATTCTACGTTGAAGGCTCATTAATCAGAGGAAATGTTTAAGCGGATCTTAAACCAGCGATTCCAGCTTGAAGTTTTTCTATATTAGGTTCTGTAATATGTGAAACGTCCACTTAAAAACGTTTCAAACGTTTTATTTATATCTGATCGTCTTGAGAAATGATGATTTATTCAATAGTACAACATTGAAATTCTTCAATATTCTTTGTCCTTTTAATCAACTTCCCTGGAAAGTTTGAGAGAAGAAAATTTAAAAAAGTTTTATTATTATTTAATTTATGTTACGAAATTTAAACATTGCTATTATTTTTATTATTATTTACAAAAAAAAGTTGCTTTCTTATTTAAAGCCATTTATTAGACATTTCACGTATTACATTACTACGCTATTTTGTTTAATGTTTAATGAAATTCTTACGAAATGCTAAAATACGAACCGTAACGTGCAACGTTTCAACACCTGCAACCAGTTGCATTAATTGGCAAAGAATTATTCAAGCGTTAATCGATTCGGCAAACAAGAGACTGCTCTTATCGTGGCTAATCGACAAATCGATAATGGACAAAACAGAATGATGTTTGATTAATGACGGACGGCTGGCGCGCAGTTTCACGGCTCTCGGGGCCGAGTTTCGTGATCTTTGAACGGAAGAGTGCCATCGGAAGTCATCGTAAATCAAGTGTCATCTGTACAGTGACAAACGTCAGCCACGACACGCGATCGATGATAGATCGTTGACTAAGTTGGCATACAGATCGACGCTTTTATGGCTAATTAATCGGTGACTTTGATGCTCATATAGGTGGGACGGATTGACACGAATGGAACGATCGATCCGTTGATTTACGCGGGAAATAATGGATGGGGGTTGGAGGGCGGGGAAAGTGAAGGAATAAACGATTTCCCAGCGGACGAAGCTTCAGTGCTTTCTCATACTTTTCAGTTGCTTCTCACTCAGACAGTTTATCCTTTCTTTCTTTTTGAGTTCGGCTACGCTTGATTCTTTACACTGGCTCACGAAAGTATTCGAAATCTTTCATGAATATATGTATTCCTTCGGAGCTAAACTGATCAGACTTCGGCTCTTTTGCAAGTCTTTCGCAATTTCATTTCTTCGAAGTTCCGTCGAGAGAAACGGATTCTTTACTTTCATAAATTTACAAGGATAAGAAATTCTTTGAGAATTGCAGGATTTAATCCATTGTTTTTTATCTCTCGATTCATGGAAATTAATCGATATAGCTTCTCAGCAATTCGCATCGTATGTTTCCAAACGTGAAAGTACGTAGAAATTATAAGATATATTTAGTACATTTTTAGAAAAAGAAAAAAAATTACATTACACTGCAACAGTAGTTTGCTGTATGTGCGTAAAAATTTTCTACGATAAGCATTCAAATACTTTCGTGAGCC